AAAAATAAATGACGTGTAGGGGACCTTTTAAATCTGATTACGAAAGTCATACATGCTCATTGTAGAAAACTTGGAGAAAATTGAGAAGCACTATGAAGAAAACCAAAATCACCTGCAGCCCTGTAACTCTGTGAGCATCTGGGTGTTGACCTCAAGTCTTCTTTTTAACTCTGACCATCCTTTTTCCCTTGGCGATATTGTGAGAGCCTCTCCCTGTCAGCTTGTGCCACCCACAGTCGGGTTGTGGCCCCAACACCCTGCATATGTGTGCCCTGATTTCCTCAGACCTGATCCACTTGGTTTAGTTTCAGTTTTTCAATGTTATAAATAACAGTGAATATCCCGTATGTGCATCTTCATGTTCATCTCTGATTATTTTCTTAGGACACATGTTAAAATACAACCATGGAACAAAGGGCTCACATTTCCTATTTTTCATGTCTCACTTTGAAGTGATTGTGAAGTACCCTTTCGGATGGCTGAGTGGGTGCACTGGGCCTCACCTAGACTGGGGCAGCCCTACAGGGTGGCCTGTGAGGTGCTGTTGAGGTAATCGGCAGTGTGTGGTGTCCTCTCTCAGGGCAGTTTCCCCACACAGACTCTTCTCACCACTCATCATATGGCAGAGACATGGGACCAGCCAGGCCTGGTTTGGATCACTGCTTCGCCTGTTAATCTTGTGGCCTGTTTCCTTTGGAGTTGTTGCTGTGACTGTTCACTGCATTCATCCTCAGCCCACGATGAATTTAGTGCCACCCTCCTAACCCTTAACCAAGGCTCCGGGCTAGGGAGGGAAGGTGGTGCAGCCCTGCTTTCCATCTTAAGCTGACTGTTCCCCTCCCACAGCATGATGCAGCTCCTGGTGCTGCTGTGGGAACCAGGTGGAGATGAGAGGTTTATGTTCTCTAAGACCTCAGGAGAGGCCTTGAGGAAAGGGGAGTCATGTTGATTTTGGTGACTGCGGTTGTGGCATTGCATCTAACACCCCTCGGATGCTTTCTGGGGAGAGGAGTCGAAGAAACAGTCGCTTCTAGTTCATTGGTCCATCCATTTGTCTTGTATCTGTGAGCTGCACCCAGCCGCCTGAGTGCTCTGCTTCCTGGCACCCTAGAAAATGCTGTCACTTCAGCTAGCACCCCTGGAACAACTCTCCTATGCTCTCACCAGCAGGAAACTGACCTCAGCCATAACCCAGAAATAGCCACGTAGTAGTTTTTCTGTTTTCTGTTTGTAGATTCTCTTTGTTTTAGTCCCTCTGGCCCCATCCCCCTACCCCAAAGCAAATAGAGAAGAACTTGCTAGAAGTGAGAAAAGGAAACATGGTAAAGCTGCCCTGGTTGGTTTTTCGCTGGCTTGCTCTTTCTGAAACTGGCCTATCTCACATGTTTATCACATTTCTTGTTTTCTCTGGTCCAGCCCAGCTGTTTCTTACAATATGTCAGGTTTCTTTATAGTTACAGAAATCCAGGGTATAAAACAAGCTGTGAGCCCGCCTCTGAACCATGTGTGGAGGGCACAGCACAGGGAAAGCATGGAGAGGTTCCTAGGACACTGTCTGGCTTTTGATAGCTGGCCTCTTTTCTGGGAACAATATAGGCAAGTGTATTTGGAGCTGAACTTCGGTCAAGGCCGAGAGCCCTAAGGAACCTGGGAGCAGCCTGCCCGAGCTGAGAGGGGTTCACCGAAAGTCCCCTGGGGGCAGTGAACAAAGCCCCTGGTGTCTCTGAGGTGTCTGGTTTTCTCCCTCCAGGCCTGGAGGCTGGAGCTGTTCCCCTGCTGGCCAAGCTGGGGGACTGTCTACCCAGAGCTCCTGGCTGCAGGAGAAGCCAGCCAAGGAGGCTAACAGGCACAGGCCAGTCCACAACCT